CACAACAGCTCCTACCCATCACCGACGACTCGATTCATGTGGCAGACACGGACGACGTCGCCGGCATCCCCGAGGCTGTCCTGAAACTAGCGTCCACCCAAGCCTTCACAGCAGATGCACGCGCCGCCGCCGACAGATCGTAAAGGCTGCTTTGAAGTCCAGCTGTGATGAGAGAGGGGAGGGGGGAGATGAAGGGGAAGAGTTGTTGGGAGCAGGCGAGCATGACCATGAAGTCGAGCTTGTCTACACACCAAATCGTAAAGGCTACTTTGAAGTCGAGCTGGGAGGGGGAAACGAACGGGTGGGATGGGATAGAGGAATACGAGAGTGAATATGAAAACTGGAATAAGAGGATAGGGGTAGAGTGTTGGGAGCAGCCGAGCATGAGTTTGAAATCAAGCTTTTCAGCCCGCCAGATCTGAAACGCGGCCTTGAAGTCAAGCTAATGGGGGGGAAAAGAAAGAGAATATGTGATGGGATAACGGAATATGAGAACGAGTGAAGAAGGAAATAACGGATGAGGGACTAAGGGGAAGAGTCGTTGAGAGCAGTCGAGCATGCCGGCGAATGGAATAAGGGAAGAGTTTGACAAGAAAAGGTCGTTGGGAAGCTTCCGACACGCATCGACAGATACATTGACAAGTTGAGTGACTTGGAAAGCAATCAAGTGGAGCAAACAAGGTGACGGGTGGAGCAGACAAGGTGACGGGTGGAGCAGACAAGGTGACGGGTTACACTCTATGCCATGCTGTATGGGTGCTGGCCATCGTTTGATGGTGGCGTGCGGCGATTGGATGAGAGCAGGGACTGGGAGGATTCCTGCTGGTGGTTTGTGTCGCAGAAGGTGAAGAATCTCGTCCGTCGGATGCTGGCGGTAGATCCTGAGATGCGACCGACGGCGGAGGAGATTTTGAGCGATCCGTGGGTGAAGGGGCAAGGCGGAGAGATCGTGCGGTATATGCCGACTCCTTTGTTGCAACAGGCCGTTTCAACAAGCAAACAGCGCCCTTTTCGAGCCCGAGGTCGTTGCAATTCGACTGCAAGGACGCTACAGAGACTAGCAGCACATCATCTACAGGGGTGATGACAGTAGCTACACTGCTGTTGTACCCTTCACACACGTCTGTATCTTCTTCCATTATCTCTCCATCCTCCTTCCCTAGTGTCCAAGACCAAGAAGGATGCAAGCAGGGTGGGTTCAAAGATTAGGTGGCAAGAGTAGGGTGTACAACAGTCAAAATCAGAGGGTAGCAATTATATTAAGCAAAGATTTGCCTGAGGCAACAGCCGTAGATAGTGAGGAGCTAGTTCAAAAGGGCTGAGATGAAATACAGCACTTCTAACCATGCTTTTTATGCATGGAGTGCTGTGAAACCTCAAGAACAAAACAAAGGAAGTTTTACAGCCCACCAAATCTGTTTAAATAAAAGCAAACCGACAATCGCATACAAAAATAGTAAAAATCAACAGCCCACCAAGGTTGCTTCACATTGAAAACACCAGAAAGATGTTCAGCCCACCATATTTGTAAACAGCCCACCATATTTGTAAGCAGCCCACCAGACTTGAAAACAGCCCACCAAACTTGAAAACAGCCCACTAAACACAAGAACGACACTGCTCCGATGCACTCCCGAAAGGAGGGAATGAAACCAACGAGGAGTAAAAAGGTAATGGCTTCCCAGAAAAAAATTGCCCCCCTGTGGATCATCAAAGCTCTCTTCTTCCACGTGCAGGTACAGCTCCTCTGCCTTCCTTCAGCTTGACTTGAGGCCTTCATCAAGCCACCATTCAGACGCAGCTTTCCTTCAGGACTTGAAGTATTCAGCTGCAGCTTTTCAAGGAAGGGCCCAGCAAACTCAAGCTCGCACTCCTGCATTCAAAGGACGATGATTGGCAGCAAATGAACCACAGGAACCAGAGAATTAGAGAACGAGTTCTGGGAGAGAATGAGGGATCTGTACTAGAAAATAAGACAGGAAAAACGTGTGCTCTTTACCAGGGTGATTCACCCTTTGTATGCTGAATGAATCAAGTTTGAGGCAAGACTAGATACAAAGATAGAGAACAGGGGTGAGAGAGGACAGGGGTGAGAGAGGACAGGGGTGAGTAGGGGTGTAATCGGCGTTCACATACGCAAAACACAAGAGACAGTTCAACCAGCAGATGCACATGTGATTTCAATTGTACGTACCTATTAAGGACTCCACTGATCTATCCCACCATAACCGACAGGATCAAAGTTTGCAATCGCAAAACACGCGCCACAGTTGAGCAGGGACATGAGGGAAGAGTCCTGGCAGTGCAATTCGACGCACTCCTCAGTACTTGGACCTGAAAGGAAGTAGCAACACCGATAGGTATAATGGCATTAGGACCTGAAAGGAAGTAACAACACCGTACTTGTTGAAGGAAAAGGTACGGTGCTACTAGCACTGGAAAGGGAGAGAAGGGAGCGAGAGAGAGGGAGATGGGGTGACAGAGAGGAAGCGAGAGAGAGAGGGCGAGGGAGAGGGAGGTTTAGGGGAGAGAGCGGAAGAGAGAGCGAGGAAGATACAGAGAGAAAATGTGCAATTGTAGGGTGGCAGGTTGCACTTACAAGTCCCAATTCCGTCGAGATCGACACATACTGCACCGTCGCACTGTGTGACTGCGCATGTTCCTGAGAAAGAGAGAAAGAGAGAGAGAGAGAGAGAGAGAGAGAGAGAGAGAGAGAAAGAGAGAGAGAGAGAGAGAGAGAGAGGGAGGGGGAGAGGGAGAGAGTGAGAAAGTCGGAGGAGATGAGCGAGGGCGAGGAACGTGAACTACTATGACAGGGAAAGGGAACATGAACGTGAGTGCTTGGCAGAATTAGAGGTATTCTGCCAAGCAGTGCTGCAAAGAACAAGCACACTACGCACCTGTGCAAATGCCATTGTGCCGCGTATATCCTTTTGCGCAGTAACAGACTGCACCATCATTCTTGTCTACACATACTTCAGTCTCGGAATTACAAGGGTATGTCTCGCATGTCCCTGGCAGAAGCGAGGGAGAATGGAAAGAGATGATTGAGAGTGGGGTATGTTGTACACAGAGCAGGATAGACCATGTAGAGAGTTGGGAGGATTCAGTTGATGAAGACAGCATGGGCGTGCAGGGAAACAGTGAGGCTGATAAAGAATCGCATACCTCTACAATTCGGGGGCGTGCCTTTGTATTCGGGCTCCCTGCAAACGCATTGTCCACCGTAATCCGTTTCTTTGCAACGTTCCAAGGGGCCACACTTCGTGAATATGCATTGTGCTGGCAGTTGTTGGCAAAATCATCAACGAGGGAGAGGGGAGGGGAAGGAAGAGAAAGGGAGAGGAAGGGGGGGGGGGACGGGGGGGAGGCGGCTGAGGGGAGAGTGTTGGCAAGAGACCATTGCTAGACACGGCATCCATTAGCAGGGCTTCTTGCAATTTAATGGACTTGGTACAAACAACTTCCGAATCACATGATGGACTCCTCTCCTTCTGTTCCGTGCTCTCTATACTAGCTTGTACGATACAGAGAGCGTGTGTGAGAGCACAGTGCGTGAAGGTGACGACAGGCTACGTACGAGGGCATGTGTGAGAAGGAGTTTTCATGTATCCAAACTTGCAGTTTTGAGACGTCTCACAATACGTACGTGCGCAGGTGCGATAAGGAGTTTGCATGTATCCGAACTTGCATCGGCAGTAAGACGTGTCTTCACTCTCCACACACTCCTCGTTGAGACCACAGACTCGTATTGAGCACGGCGCTGGCAGATGGTGGGAGGATAAATGGGGAGGAGAGGGAGAGGGAGAGGGAGGGAGAGAGAGAAGGAGGGAGAGAGAGGGAGGGAGAGAGGGAGAGGGAGAGGGAGAGAGAGGGAGGGAGAGAGGGAGAGGGAGAGGGAGAGGGAGGGAGAGAGAGAGGGAGAGACGGGGGAGGGAGAGAGAGGGAGAGACGGGGGAGGGAGAGAGAGGGAGAGACGGGGGAGGGAGAGAGGGAGAGACGGGGGAGGGAGAGAGAGGGAGAGATGAGGGGACGCTGGCACATGGTTGATTTGAGATGCTACCTTGCCCACATCGACCACGGGTATGCATAGGCATCGATACAGAAACGACTCGAGAGGGGAGAGAAGAGGACAATCCAGGGGGAGAGAAGAGGAGAAGTACATACGTTTGCAAAATCCTGGGAACCCAAGATATCCTGGCTTGCACTTGCACGTTGGCCTGAGGTTCACCATCTCGCATACTTTGTTTTGACCGCATTCATAGACTGCGCAGGTTGCTGGTAAGTGGGAGAGAGAGGGGAGAACGAGAGAGGTGGTGAGGGATAGTGAGGTGAGGCAGGGGAATGGACGGTGGTAGAGGAAGGAGGGTAATAAGAAGGAAAGAGAGAGATAATATGCAAGGAAAGTGAGAGCGAAAAAATAAGAGGAATGGAAAGCCAAACATACTACATACTATCACAGTATTTGCCTCGCGCGACGTATCCTGCAGCGCATTCGCAAGTCCCAGCGCCTCCAGGGACTTTCTCCACACAGTGTTGGTTAGGGGGACAGTAGAGAGCATTGCATGTTGCTGCAAGTTGGATTTGATGATTGATAGGGAGAAGTGGGAGAACGATACAGTGGATGAGAGAGAGAGCATGACAGAGAGGTTATGACAAACGAGCAAGAAAGGCAGCGATACGAGTGACAATAAAAGAGAGAAGAATATCAATTAGAGAGGCATTGCATAGGAGGGAGAGAAAGAAAGGCAAAGAATGCAAGTGAGTAAAGAGAATAAAGTGGAAAAAACAAGCACTCCACATACCAGCGCAAGACCCCGGCTGGCCGACGTATCCGCTCCTGCATTTACAGGTTGGGACACCTCCCATCATCGCACATTCGAGTCAACTCAAAAGTAACCACATACCAGCGCAAGATCCCGGCTGGCCTACGTATCCTCTCCTGCATTTACAGGTTGGCACGCCTCCCACCATCGCACATTCTTCCAATGGTCCACAATTTATGGCTTCACAGGTGTCTGTTGGATGGATGGAGGGAGACAGGAGATGGGAAGAGGGGGAGAGGGGAAGAGGGGAAGAGGGAAATATGGGAAGAGGGGAAGAGGGGAAGATGGGAAGAGGGGAAGAGGGGGAGAGGGGGAGAGGGGAAGATGGGAAGAGGGGAAGAGGGGGAGAGGGGGAGAGGGGAAGAGGGGAAGAGGGGGAGAGGGGAAGAGGGGAAGAGGGGAAGATGGGAAGAGGGGAAGAGGGTAAGAGGGGGAGAGGGGGAGAGGGGAAGATGGGAAGAGGGGAAGACGGGAAGAGGAGGAGAGGGGGAGAGGGGAGAGGGGGAGAGAGGGAGAGGGGGAGAGGGGGAGAGGGGGAGAGGGGAGAAGGGGAGAGGGGGAGAGGGGGAGAGGGGAGAGAAAGTAACCTACATCGCCACTAATGCAATGACCTTTGGAAGGAGGCGTGCTGGTGTGGATGTGACATGGAGCAGGAGGTGTGCTGGTGAGGATGTGGCATGGAGCAGGAGGTGTGCTGGTGAGGATGTGGCATGGAGCAGGAGGCGTGCTGGTGAGGATGTGGCATGGAGCAGGAGGCGTGCTGGTGAGGATGTGACATGGAGCAGGAGGCGTGCTGGTGAGGATGTGGCATGGAGCAGGAGGCGTGCTGGTGAGGATGTGACATGGAGCAGGAGCGAATGAACAGGTGGGTCAGCCACGAGAGGAGAAACGCCCAGAGGAGCAAAACGACAGAAAGAGGACATAGGGAGAGGGGAGATGGGGCCAGGGAGTGGAATGTGCACAAGTGAATGATGAAGAAAAGGCAACGGGTCAAGAAATCAGCAACAGAATTGAGAGCATGAGCACGTACTTGGGCAGGCTTGGATGCTGAGCTGGGAGTTCCAGACACAGTCACGAGGACAGTTAGCCGGACAGTTAACTGCAACAGAATCCAAGAGGGATAAAGAGGTACAGGTACAAATCAGCAACAGAATGAAAGCAAGACGATCTGCTTTGCTGCCAAAGCAGACAATCTGTCTACCTTCTCTCAACCACCAGTAATTATCTAGAAAACCACATCTGCCACATGACTGCTCCCCATTCGCTATGTGAGTGACCAATGGTGGCAGGATAAGCAACTTTACCTCGCTTTGCTCACGGCCACCAAGCGCAACCATTCTCAACAAAAAATTCGTGTATGATGAGCCTGTTTTTAAATCGGCTCAAAAACTTCCTCACAGCCGCCAAGCGCAACGCAACCGTTCTCATTACTCCCCAACTGAAGCGTTGTGAATTTTCCCAGCAAGGAAGGTGATGATGAGTAGGGATGATGATTGGATGTACGATGATTGGATGGACGATGATTGGATGGGCGATGATTGGATGGAATATGTGTAAGTTGCCGAGCGCACCTTTCTTACAGACCGGATAGAGTCCAGATGTGTCACAAAGATATCCATATGGACAGGGCATGGTCGGGCATGATTCTGGCAGATGGAGGGTGGAGATTGATGAAGATGAAAGGAAGAGAGGGGAGGGCAGCACGGGTTGGCAGGGAGGGGAGGTGGACGGGGCAGGGGAGATGGGGGGTTTGGAGAGTTCACACCAAAAGGCCAACAAAGCTTGGTGGCAATGCCTCAGATCTAGAGAAATGAAAAAGGAGATGACGGGGTACATAGGGAAACATGGGGGAAGAACTGAGGAGGGGAGGATCTTTTTAAATCCATTGCACGTACCTATGCAATTTCCTGAGACTGGATCCGGTGTGTAACCATCGTTGCACTTGCAGTATTGGGGCGGGTTGCTATTCCACCACCACCAGTTCTCATAGAGCGCAACGCAGTTGCCATTTACACAGTTGTCAGCAGTGCAATTGTCAAGAAGAAATTCTGGATGGACAGAGATGGAGAGAAAACAGGAGTGTGTAAGCAGGTGAGGCATGCAGGATGGGACACCCACCACCCTTCCGTAAATCAACAGAGGCAAACCAGCAGGTGTTTTCTGAGTCCACTAAAACATCAACTGCAATCCAGCAGGGGGAATGGTACTTATTCAAGTGGGATTGGCTTGAAAGACACATCAAACTTTTCCTGATTGCTCAAATTGAGCTGCGGTATTGTGCAAGGGCACGCCATTTACAGGTTATGAACATATCAAGGCAAGCAAATTATTCCGTGAGCCATACAAACCTCATTCACACCACTGCTTGACTTTGGATGAGCCTTGAGAGAGAGGTGAAGAAGGAGAGGGGGAGTGAAGTGATGAACATGGTGAAAACAGAGGACAGCACATACGTACAAACATACCAGCACATACATACGAAAATACCTGCACAAAGGACAGCACATACATACATACCAGCACACTCCCCGTTGTGGCGATAGTATCCAGCCACACACTCGCAGCTTCCAGCGATCCCGTTCGGCAGGTCTTCACGGCATTCTTCCAAAAAACCGCACGGTGTTAGACTATACGGATCGGCCAGAATCTTGCATGTTGCTGACAGATGGTTGGTGAGAGGGGGTATGTGGGAGATTGGAATGTGCAAAGGTAGAAAGAGAGAGAGAGAGTGAGACAGAAAGAGAGAGAAGGGGGGGGAGTGGGAGGGGGGGGAGGGTGGTTTCTCAGATAGCCCCTCCCTTCTCAAATCTCTCCTATCAAAGGCAACTACGGCTCAGTCCCGGCAGGACCCGTTTGTGGGCCCCACAGTCCCTTCAGGACCCGTCCGTGGGCCCCACAGTCCCTTCAGGACCCGTGGGTGGGCCCCAGCATATGCTGCGGTGCGGCAGACCTAGGATGCGGAGGTTGACAGTGAGGAGGGAGAAGTCTCAGCGGGGTAGCGACAGATTGGTGGGTAGGGGGTGTTGCTTGGGGTTTTCTTTGTGAAATAGGCAAGGAGTGAGGTTTGGGGTTTCTGTCATAGGCAAGGGAGGAAGCAAGAGGTCATGTCGTGTGGTTTATGCCGTATGACTTGCTTCTTGTTGTCTAGCTACATCGGTCCTACTTGCCAATGCCTGTACACCTTTGCCTTTTTTAAAACATGACCGCTTGAGAGGAACGAAGAGAGAATTGCAGAAATGAAAAAGAGCATACGTACGGGCACAAACGCATGTCTCTCTGTGCAGGTATCCATCCTTGCACACGCATTTAGCATGGGTCCGCTTCTCGACGTTTGGAGGAATACAATCTTCTTCTGGGCTGCAATTTGACAGTTTGACAGTTTGACATACAGTTTGACACACCCTAAACCCTAAATATACAGTTTGACACACCCCCATAGGCTAAGTGGGAGATAGCAAACACATCAAACGGTCACAAGACCAGTCAAGCAAGAGAACAAGCAAAGCAAAGCAAAGCTCAGGGTGGATCTCAAGGACACCACACAATCTGAGCACAAGCAAGCGGCCACAAGGCCAGTTCACATGCAGAGTTATAATAGCAAGGCAGTACACTGATCACAACCTAGCAAGAGTAAACAAGCAGGTATATAGATATATATATCAGTGTACAACAAGAGCAAGTCAAGCAACCAGCAGGTGAGGCAAAGTGGGCACAAGCCCAAGAGCAGTGCAGAAACGGTGATGATCACCAGACCCAAGGGCCTTGGTGAAGACATCAGCAGTGTTGGCCTGAGAGGCCACGTAAGCAAGGCGCAGCTGACCACGCTGCTGCAGCTCACGCGCAAGGAAGTAGCGAAGAGCAATGTGCTTCGTTCTGTGCTCCAGTCTCTGCTCGCGACACAAGGCAAGCATTGCCTTGTTGTCGACGTACAGAACTGGAGGAGAACGAGGCCGCTCCCCCAAGTCGGTCAGCAGGTAGGTCAGCCAGCGTAGCTCCTGTGCAGCCATGGCCCCAGCGTAGATCTCGGCCTCACAGCTGGAGCCAAGCACAGAAGAAGAACGAGTGGACCTCCACGAGACAGAACCAGAGCCAAGACTGAAGGTGTAACCCTATGACGAACGCTGAGTCGCCTGGTCGTCGGCCCAAGAAGCGTCAGAGTGTCCTGTGAGTACAACTGAACTCCGTCCTCCAAGCACGAGCCCCATGCCCGATGTACTGCACAAGTAACGCACTACCCTCTTCGCAGCATCAAAGTGCACCTTTCGGTGTCTACCGGGTGCCACGTAGCGAGCCAGGAGGCTGAGAGGGTACGCGAGGTCAGGTCGTGTGCACGTCATCAGGTACATGAGGCAACCCACAAGCTCTGGGTACGGACCACTCGGCTCTACGGACTCGTCCGAAGGTGGAGCTGAGAGCGAATGGCCGGTAGACAGAGGAGTGGGCTGTGGCGAGGACCACGTGAAGCCGAAGCGCTGAAGGACCTGGTGCACCATGTGTGACTGAGTCAGGGTGATGGTGCGCCATGCTCTGTCCCGGGTGATCTGCAAGCCAAGATAGCTCCGCAGCTCACCCAGGTCAGTGCAGGTGTGTCTCTCCTGCAGCTCCGCCTTCACTAGAGCCAGTGCCTCAGTGTCAACAGTAGCAAAAACCAAGTCGTCGACGTACACGAGGATGTAGAACGGCGGCAGAGTAGTGTCGGTGCGTAGAAACAGCGACGGGTCAGCAGTCGAAGGAGCAAACCCAAGAGCCGCAAGTGTCGTCCTCAGTGTGTCGTGCCACTCGCGGGGCGCCTGACGCAGGCCGTACACTGGTCGCCGTAGGCTCCACTGGGTACCCTCAGGAAACGACCCAGTGAAGCCCTCTGGACGGCGCAACCAGATGGCCTCGTGAAGGCTACCCTGCAAGAAAGCTGTCGAGAAGTCGAGGGAGTGCAGCTCGTAGTCACGCTGAGCTGCAACGTGTAGTAACACCCGAAGAGTGGTCATCTTCGGGGTGGGGGAGAAGGTCTGAAAGAAGTCGACCCCCGCACGCTGACTGAAGCCTCGAGCAACGTAACGTGCCTTGAAGGCAGGCGGAGAACCCGGCGGCCGCTTCACCCTGAAAATCCACATGCCACTGACAATGTTCGCCCCAGGTGGGGGGACCTCGTCGACGTAGGTGCCCGTGGACTTCCAGGAAGCCATCTCTGCGTCCATGGCTGTCTGCCACTGAGAGGAGTACTCACCAGAGATCCCCTCTCTGTAAGAGCGCGGGGTGGGGATGTCAAGTGCATCCGGGTCTCCCTCAGGGGCAAGCAGCATGGTCGCGAGATGGGGTGCAGCGGCCGCAAGGCACTCCAGCTCCTCCTGGCTGTCCTCAAGAACGTCACAGCCAAGGGCAGTACAGCCAAAGGCAGTCTCACCCCCGACGGACGGAGGACAGGCAGGGACAGGGTCAGAAACAAGACTCGCAAGGTAGTCTAGGCGGTACACAACAGCAAAGTCAACGAGCTCAGCGACTAAGGCAGACGCAGCAGGAGACGAGAACGAAGGGTCATTCACCACCGTAGCAAGAAAGCGAGTAACAGTCGGACTGGATGCACGAGCAAGGTCTGACGGAGGGTCAGCAACGTCAGGAAGAGAGGACACAGGAGGTAACGGCAGGACAACACGCTGTGGAACAGAGGAAGGACGGAGTGTCATATCGTGAGTGCCTGGGACAGTCGGAGCAAGCGGACGATGAACACGAGGAACACGAGCACGGACAGCAGATCTAGGCTCAGGCTCAAGGTCAAAGCTAGACTCAGGCTCTCGACGCTCAGGGGTGGAAGCACGAGTCTCAGGCTCTCAGTGCTCAGACAGGGACTGTGTCACCGCAGTGTAAGGAGCAGGAGTAGGCAGTGGGGAGTGCGGTAGCAGCTGCGGCTGTGACTGGTCTGCCGGTGGAAACAGTAACGGTGGAGTAGTACCTGCCACAGGGAAGTCAGTAGCACCTGGCGGAAGACTGAGAAGGTGGCGAAGAGCACCAGCAGCTCCCGTACCTCCAGCACGAGCAGCTCCACCTGCACTCCCAGCAGCACCTCCAGCACCAGTAGCACCAGCACCTCCAGCACCTCCAGCACCACTAGCTCCGGCAGCTCCAGCACCTCTAGCACCAGCAGTACCTCCAGCACCTCCAGTGCCAGCAGCTCCAGTAGCACCTCCAGCACCTCCAGCACCAGTAGTACCACCTGCTCCGGCAGCTCCAGCACCTCCAGCACCAGCAGTACCTCCAGCACCTCCAGTGCCAGCAGCTCCAGTAGCACCTCCAGCACCTCCAGCACCAGCAGTACCACCTGCTCCGGCAGCTCCAGCACCTCTAGTACGAGCACCTCCAGGACCAGCAGCTCCAGCACCTCCTGTACCTCCAGCTCCAGCGCCTCCAGCACCAGCAGCACCAGCACCTCCAGTGCCAGCAGCTCCAGTAGCACCTCCAGCACCTCCAGCACCAGCAGTACCACCTGCTCCGGCAGCTCCAGCACCTCTAGTACGAGCACCTCCAGGACCAGGAGCTCCAGCACCTCCAGTACCTCCAGCTCTAGTGCCTCCAGCACCAGCAACTCCAGCACCTCCAGCACCTCTAGGACTAGTAGCTCCAGCACCAGCAGCACCTCT